GTGAGATTCCATGGATGGTGTAGCAAAAGAAATGTTCTTTTTATAGACAAATGCATTTTTTTTTCGTATTTAGTATTTTATATGAATAATTATATTACGAAAAATGTCGCATTCTTGGAAGAAATGGATTTTTCATATTTTCTTTTGACATGCTATGATGTCTGCATGAGAAATTGATTTTCGATAAGGACATATACATTTTGATTTTTCTGTTTTGATATGAAGAATTTTGGAAAAAATAATCGATATTGTTTGTGAATAGTCATGTTTCCTATTCGATCAGCTATAAGAAGAGATTGATAGAGAAAGAAAACTGTCATTGTTTAAAAAAATGTATATTGCATATTTCGTTTCAAATTTCATCGACACTCTATGGAAAAAATTATTTTCCTAGCATGAAATGTATTCTACATGGTTGACTTTTAATAAGAACGATTTTGAGATAGAAAAATCGATATACTTGATGAAAATTGATGTAAAGTATTTCTTTTGGATTCATTGACCCACATTACGTTTGGTCAAATTCCATGGCATTCTATTTTTCCTTCCAAAGCTTTTCTTTTAGCAGAAAAGACTAAACTTATCCATTTTGACAGTAAATTACCTTCGATGGTGGATGCCGAAAAAAAAGCCATTATAAACCGCTAGACTGGATTCAGACTGATAGACCGCCCTAGTGAAACTTTTTTTAGTAAGCGCATGACATTCTTGAGTTTCTTGACCCTGAATGTCATGCTCTATGGACACATCTTGAGTCAAGACTTGAGACCATTAGGAAAAACTAAAGCGCTTGATATTCTTGCTCATGCGCTTGAATGTCTGTGCAAGAAATGTTACGTGCTTGAATATTAAAGAAATATTTTCATCGTTTTTTTCAGTTCTACGTTCAAAATGACTGAAATTTTAATAAAAACTCGCACTAGTAATTTTTTGAGTTCCGCGCATGACTTTTTCAACCATGCGCATGACTCATGCGATCACTCAGATGCTTGTCTTGACCAAGAAAGTCATGCGCTATGGACACATCTTGAGCTCAAGTCTTGTCAAGCTCTTGAAAAAAAAAGTTCGACTCGGGCGGTTTCAGATCTGTATATCGGCCAGTCTAAAGTCCGCACCGGATCAGATCGGGTGGTTCCCGGTACCGGTTCCATCTATGATGCAGAGCGCTTCTCGGACATCCCTACAAGAAATTGGATTTCAATATACGAGATAGTTTTTACGAATTTTATATAGGCTTTGTGCAAACAACTGGAGAATGGCCCTTCACAGTTCACTTTTTCACTGAAGCACAACTCGACCATTTTGCCAAGTATTGCAAAACCAAAAGCTACTCTTATTTACATATTGATGCGACTGGCTCTGTTATTAAAAAGCTCAAGGACCAAAACCCTATATATTTTTACTCGATGGTTTTCAAAGCTGGAGAAGATCCTTCCAATACGTTACCACTTAGTGGGGCTCTTCTTTGTGACCACACAGTTGCTTCCATCACTTCATACTTCAATTGTGTACGCAGTAAACTTGAGCTACGTTTCAAAACAGCACGTCCATCTTTCGCGGTTATTGATTTCTCTCCAGCTATACTAAATAGTGTACTCAGCTCGTTCAACACCGAGAGTATTAAACATCATCTTCGTCGTTGCTTTAATACTCTGAATTTTGCATATGACTCATCTCAATTACGCAACATGACATTTGTGCGACTTTGCTGTGCACACGTAATGAAGGCATTTTCCAGAAGTCTCCATAAAATAGAAAAAGCAAAAGACGCACGTTGCCAAATAATGACACTATTTGCTGTGCTATTAAATTGCTACAATGCTGATGGTGCATTCGATTTGTTTGAAGAAATCATGAATGTTTATGCCGATCCTTATAATGGACAATCGTTACAAATATTATCTTCACTTCTAAGTAAATCAAATGATTATGAATTTCCTGTCGAACAATACTTAGATGATTATGAAAACGATGAGGATACACCACATTTTCTCGATGAGATTGATATTACGACCGATGCAATAATTCACCAGTCGCCGTTTAATGTCAAAGCATGTGATCGGATACCAACTCTCAAAGAACTGATTCATAAAGAACCTTTGAAGATAAAGCCAACTAATCCACTTTTTTCAACCAAGATTGTACAGCTGTTTTATAAATGGTTTGCTTATCTTCCTCTATGGTCAGGGATCATGGTAGAATTCGTTGACAGGCAAGTTTCATTTTGATCTAAGTAAATTATTATATAGATATGTACAATTTAGATATGCTAATGACGGCAAAAAGATTTCAACGAGCAATTGGGAATTCGGTCACGGTCGAATATCGAATGCTTCTGCCGAGTCATACTTTTCTTTAATTAAAGAATTTGTTCTTCTGAAGAAAACTCGTCTTCGACCTGCTCATTTCTTACTAAAAGTTTACCTACACACTGTTTCACGATCGAAGGCAAATCAACTTGGTGTGACTCAAACTTCGCGTAGCCGAAAGGCCAGTCGGCAGAGATCGAAGAGCCAACAGAGTTCGGACAGTCTGAACACCACAGACAATTGGCATAGAAAAGGCCGTTCCCAAACATATTTCAGTCGACGAGGGCATTACTTCAGTCGTCAAGTTAGCCAAACAACAGCATCCAAGCTATCGTACACTATATTCTATAGATTTTAGACTACTTTTACATTTTGTTTTCTCATGTAGGCATGGCAAAGGACGACAGCGAAAAGTTCAATTCGGTGAAGTCTCATCTTATTCAGTGACTGATGAAGCGCCCGACAACATTTGCATCAATCCTAAGTATTCGATTTTTTCATTTGTAGTTAAATAGAGAACACTATAGCAATGACTTTACTGACTTTTCCCCATAAGTCTGCTTTCAAAAATTCTATCTGCTCCGTTTGTAAATATATTTGATTCTTGGGATAGACATTTCTGAAACTGAAATAGAGAGGCTTTGTGAGCACGTTTCTTGACCATTCCATTATGACTATAACTGTTTAAAATGGATAGGATTTCACTTCAGTTCTGCATAATATTTAGTGATACAAACTCAAGTAATTCATCAATCCATTCTGCTTCCAATCAATCATTGGGTTTTTCAGTCAAGTGTTCCAATTCAATCGTGCAAAGCAGCAATGATGTTTTTGCTCCAGAACATAATTCATTGGCCTCTTTGAATAGTAACCTTAATGAACCATTTAGCCATCCAAATACAATTCAAAATACTTTACCAACTTTAGTGGCTTATTCTGATCTTAGTGAAACGGAAACCACTGATACAGAAAGTAATTTACGAAGAGGTTCACGTCATCGTATTCCAAGTACAAAATATGCTAATGATTATATTTCTCCAACGATTAGTCCAAATCTATTATCCAAAGCACTTTCACCAAAGCGATATCTTTCATCGTCTACTGATAATCTTTCTGATAATGCACTTGAAAAGACATGTCATGGTCAACGCAAGAAACCAAAAAGAACACTGCGAAACTCATCTAATAAGCAGCAATCAAAAGTAACAAAACTAATACATACTACGACACTTGGTAGTCTTAATCTCGTATGACCCCGATATGGTATTAAAAACTGTGTCTATGCTGGTGAATCGTTCTCTGTCACAAGAACATGTCCTATTGATACCGGTCTGTTCGCTTTGTATCATGCCTATAAAGCTGGCAGCGATAAATTTCGTAACCTCTTCGAAAACAACACTCTTGATGCCTTTGTTGCTCTCCGTGAAACATTTCAATGTGTCGAAAACAAAGGTTGGGACGTTGCTCGGCTACATTGGCTTGTGCGACATAAACTGCTCACTGACATGAATTTTGACAATGAATACGATTTGGAAAGTACATTAACAAAAATCGTTTTTGACTTTGTGAGACCAATGCAAGAATTTGATATCCGTTCAGTATGTAGATGTACTGTATGTCCTAAACGTAAAAGAAAAAATTCAAGTTTTGATATAACATTACGGTAAGCCATTCAATTTCTATAAGTGAGTAACATAGGAGATCACTAACTAGGAGCTTGCAGTTTGAACAGACTACTTTCTTGAAGAGCACTCGAACACTTAAATTTCCGCCGGGAGCCTCGGAAAAGATACCGTTTCCAGCGGGAACCCGCAGGAAACCTACTGTTTTCAGTCGGAACCTACCGAAAAATGCTAGGTATTCGACACAGGAATCTGGGAATTGTATCCGGCTGCCAGTTTCACAGGATCCTGTCAATTCCACGTGGAACCGGATAAATCCGGTCACCATATCCGTTCGCCGGACTACTGCTTCAACGAAATCTCTAGAAAATTACAGAACCAGCCGTTTTCATGACGGATTGTTCGACATGGGACCGATCGGTCTAAAAACCAAACCAGTTGATAACTAGTATCGGTTCAATCTTTAATGTGATCAGCTACCAACAATATTTCATTTCATATCCTCTATGTGATACTACTGCGAACCATAGAAATGAAATAAGTCTATATGATAAAAGCAGGAAAGCAAAGAAGTTAGACCGGCGACCGATCGGTCTACCGGCAGACCAGTTTGTCTGATATTCGGAAACGACCGACCAGTTACCGGTATCGATTCCTTCTCTGAAGAATAGCACTATTTGAATTTTGATACCTTGACGTTTCAACAATTCTTTTCTGATTTTCAAAAATTTCGAGATCATCGAGATGAAAAATGTCAACTTTAGTTGCGTACGTCAAGCAATAAAGACAGACTTAAAAAAACCTCGCGACGCGGTACCAGGGATATGCAGAAAGGAAAAAAGTGAGGGGGGGGGGGGGGGAGGAATAGATTCCCACACTTCCCCTTAGGAAAGAGTTATAATACCTAGATTTTAAAATAACAGTTCCACAGCAATTTCACTAAAGAAAGTCACTACTTTTGAAAAGTGCAGCGGCCCGGAGCCCCCTCCCCTCATCCTGTCCCTCCCATGGGCACATTCCTGCACGGTACTATAAACTGCTTCACATCTTAAAAAAAGAATGAAAAAGAGGACTCGTCAAGAACTACATAAATGCTCCTGCTTTGCAGAGCATTAAAAAGCATATAAGCAAAATATAAATAAATTAAGACGACTGAGCAACACAAACAACCTTAGATATCTGCTAATTTTGTTTGATGAGCATAAAAAATCATTGACTCATTATATCTCTTATCAAAATCTTATTGGAAACGAAACATTTTGCAAAGCATATCTTAGAAGCATTGGGTTGCTACAACAACAGATAGTATTAATTAGAGATTCGACAATTCATGCGATTATGAAATCTCCTGTGGCATCATTGTCCTATAAAGGCTTTTTATTAATAAATTTATTTAGTTTTATAATAATTCTTTTAAATCTGTTTAGCAAAATCAACAATAAATATCCAAATTATATTGAATTCTTCGCAAAACAGTCGATGGTTCTTTGTGGTGAAAATCTTGGTTCTGATGAGCCTAAAAATTATCCTGATGATTACATGTGTGACGACAAATTCCCAGTCACCCACGTGGAAACTAAAACCCGTCATATTGAGTAAGTTTTGTGTCTAGAGATTCACCAACCTCGAACTACAAGGGTTCGAAGTTCCCGTACTCGATGCATGTCTAATTCTTTCTATGACTCCTCTTCTATTTCAAACATATGCCTTTAGGACACGATATATATGCCAAGCAAAACGTACAATAGACAAGCAATATCTAAAGCATACGTCGCCTTATTTAATTGTCAGCGTTGAAACAGATAAACCACTGATGACAGAATTACCTGATTCATTGTATATCGATTCACATGAGTAAATTCAAACGATTCATATTTTTTAGCTTCTAAAATAAATCTTCTCTCTAGGTATCGCCTATCGGCTGGTTTCAACAATACCGAATGTCATTTTACCGCAGTCATCAAAACAAATAATGCCACCTATGTCCGTTTTAATGATGTCCATCCAAAAGGCTGCTTTCCATATGATGGTTTGTTACCAGTAATTTTCGCTCTGTACAATCTTCAAGTTTGACGATTATTCAGCAAACCAGCGTTTAATTATCATCTATTGCATTTGTGTACCTCAAACTGAACACCTATAAAATAAAGCCGCCAACAACTTATTCATTCACTGATAATATTTCATGTTCTTTTCCTAATATATTTCTTTATCCAAAATACCGCAACTATCATTACGAATAAAATTTCACTAT